AGACTCACAATTCAAAATGATGGTTCAGAAATTTCAATCAATCTTAGAACTCGAATATGAATCATAACATAGAGAAAACCAATAGATTTCTGAAAGTAAAACTTTTATGAATCAATCAAATAGACTAAGATAAATACCGAGGAAGGGGAAATCATGGGATAATATAAAATTTACCGATAATTGGAATGGATTTGAAGTCGGTGGCCATAGAGTCGATGATCTTTGGTTCTTCACCTGTGCTCTTTACTAAGGAATATCACTCGGACTACAAAGATTCCATGATTAATTATGGAGAATTTAAAATTTATATTTTATTCCATTTTGCGACATGGAAATACCAGAAACCTGTCATGTTTTTTTTCTTCGTCGTGATTAAAGACGTGAAATCAAGTAATTTAATGAATCAAGTTTGGGCCGACTTGAATTTGCATCATTTTGAGGTTGATTTTAAATTAGATTTAGTTTGAGTTTTGATTGCGTTAATTTTAGATTTGGTTAATATCAGGTAATGTCAAAAATGATTCGGGTCTAAATTAATTCAAGTTTGAAAAAACTTCAATTTAGATCTCGTTCAAATAGGGCGAACTTCAAGTTGGATCTTACTAGATATAGGTGGAATTTAAATCAAATCATTTTTCAGTAAATTATTTTCCGTGATATAATTATATTGTATATAATATAGGTTATAATCTTATAGCCCTATATTATATACTTCTGACTAGAGGTGTGCAGATCCGGGTACCCGGAACTTCTGGGTCGACGATTTCTCGACCCGTGTCCCGACCCGGATATTACGGGTACCCGGTTTTTAATTTTTAATTTTTAAATTATTAATTTTTAAAAATATATACACAAATTTAAATGTTCGATACTTCGAATTACATACTCTAATATCCGAACATAAAATTTAAAAGTTCTAAATACAAAATATAATAATCATAATATAAATAATTCATTATATTTTATATAATTATATAAAAAAAAAAACTAACCGGGTACCCGGGTACCCGGAAAAACTAGATTTTGTGACCCGGGCCCGACCCGGCCGGGTAATTTTTTTAGAGAATTACCCGATTTTTTTAGATCCGGGTCGACAAGTCAACCGGGTCGGGTAATTTTGCACACCCCTACTTCTGACCATTGTATTGCCATATCTATAAATTATAGCTATACTTATATGTAATTGGAAAAAAATATAAAGAGAGACGTTATAATAATTATCTTTGAATATATAAAATATTTATTAAAAATAATTAATTAAGATTAAATTGAATAAATATAAAATTATAAATTTAAATTTAAATAAATTAGAAAACACACATAGATCAAATTGAAACAATTGAAAAATATAAAGTTGAAACTAAAATCATGTTGGATTAAATTACAATCATTTGAAAAGTTTGTGAACAAAAGTTTATAGGATTTGAAGATTATGATATAATTTATAGAGTATAGAATAAATTATAAATATATAAATAAATATGGGATTGGGGTTAATTACATTCATCTTATAAAAATATAGTCTCTAACTCATAAAAGATGTTCATTGTTATTTTTTTGGGTCAATATGAACTAATTATTATTTTAAAAAATTAATCATAAAAATATGTAAAAATATATTTTTAAAATCTTTCAATCAAGTAGCTTTTAAATATATATTTTATAAAATTTAATTGTTTAAAATGTTTAAAATAATCATAATCAAGATTTAAAAATTTGTATTTTAAAAAGTTAATAATTTATATATTTATAGGACAGAGAGAGTATTAAATATAACATTGACTAATATTATAAAGAATTTTAACTAATATTGTATGTAATTATAACATGAATTATAATGTCAATGAATGTTGGTACAAGTGGTTGAGATTCAGGAATTTGAGTTTGTAAGGCTAAGTTCGAATCCTATTACCGCCACTCTTGGTAGAACAATATGTAAATTCCTATGTAAATATCAATTGAGTATTAGGTATGTCCTGGCCTTGAACTGAAAGAATCACTCATGACCAAAAAAATTTTAGTTGAGTCACGTTGTTTAAGTTTGTATATAAATTTAATTGTAAATATCTATAATATTATAGTATTATTTTATTTTAATTTAAATGTTTTTATAACTATATACAATACATATATATATTGTTCATATTTTTTATATGTTGAATATAAACATCATACAAAATTGAAGGATTTGACTCAAAATTAAAAATTAATTTATTAGTTACTAAAATTTTAAATTATTATTCGAGTTCTATTTTATAACTTAATTAAAATTTAAAATATTTTTTAAGTACCAAATTTATATAATTACAAATTAAATAAGTTTTCTTTCAAATTAAATAAAGAATCAATATTTTAAATCACCCCAATTCAAAAGCCCAATAATGCAATTGCATTTGTAAAAAAGATGATGCAGTTTATGAGGGTAGAAGTGGACAAATTTTAGTTGGGAGGGGCGGGGCACACGTGAATACTGATGAGGTGGGGGGGTTCACGTGAGGGGTACAGTGGCGTAGATATCACGCTAGAATACAGAACCGCACCTTTTAAGACCAAAATTTTTAGATAACTAAGGGGTTGGTTTTTTTATCTTAATATAATTATTCAACATTAAATGTTGAATCGTTCAATATTTAGCGTTGAATATTAAACCGTTTAATATTCAGTATATTTGTTTCGCACCTCTGAATGATTTGATATTAATTGATTCAGCAAAATAATACTGAATGATTTATCATATAAGTACATTCTGAATCATTCAGAATCAGTTATCAAACAGCATGTCATATTCAGAGTCAAACCATTTGAAATCTCTAAATCATTCAATATTTAAATCATTCAACACTTAACTATTTTAAGTAAACAAACCACCTTAGTTTTCATTTATAAGCAACATTTTAAATTGGGACCCATCTTGTTTTATTCCTGATCAAATGTGGATCGTACATTTCCATCTGAATCAACTTTGCATAACGAATCCCACTCTTTTATTCCTCAGGGGCACAACCGGAATAACAAATATAATAAGGGTAAATTACACCCAGCGGTCACTATTGTTTTGGTCTGTCTTATTTTGGTCATTAACTTTAAAAAATAATGATTGATCACTTACATTATAGATCTGTCTTATTTTAGTCATTGAGTCGTTAACTCTCCTTCGATGACGTTAAATGTCAATAAAAAATGTAAATTTTAAATTTAACATCTAAACTTTCAAATGTTTATTTTTCACTTTTTTAAAAAACGTAAAAATTTTATTTCTCGTTAACTCTAATCTTATTTTAACCACTATCTATGTTGTCATTGATGAAATGGAACTTCGAGGAGGTTGGGAGCTATGTCGACAACCACAACTCTAACTGTCAATCCGCCAACCACACCAATAATCACAGTATACCTCACCCCTTTGCAACTTGACAAACAACTTTATTTTGGATTTTGTTATTAAGGGGGTAACAATTGCAGCTATATAATAAGAGGAATGGAAGAAAGATGCATAATGCATTGGATCTTTCCGGTATTGTTTGAGGTAGACGACAATGTGAAGAGTGTGATGATGAGTAACAAAGACAAAGAGCATAAGTCGAGATCAAGTGAACGTTGGCATCAGATTCAATAGGGAAAACGGTGGCGCTCAATGTTTTAATTTTAGGGAAATGGGTAGTTTAAGGGTCATATTGGGCTAGGCAGTGGGTTGAGCACTCGACGATGAGAAGTCTTTAAGAGACGAAGAACGTAAATTGAGGTGTGACTATTGGGGTTTAGATTCAAGAGTTCAAACAGTGAGAAAGATGGTGGTTGGGGTGCAACCGGAGCTATCTGTCAGGTTGCTATAGGGGTAAGGCTTGTTGCGGTGGTTGGTGTGCTTGACGGGTCGACAACTGAGTTTTAGTTGTTGAGATAATTCTCAACCTCCTCAAAGTTATTTTGTATTGGACATAACACGGACGACTGCAGACAATAGTAACAAGAAGTCTATGGTTAGGATTTCGGTTAGCGAGAAAGAGGGATTTTAGGTTTTGTAAGAAGGTAAAAAAATAAACTTTTGAAAGTTTAGTGGTCGAATTTAAAATTAACTTTTTTTATCACCAAACTAACGAGAATTAACGGTATAAGGACTAAAATAAGACAATTCAATAACGTAAATGGCTAAATTGTTTCTAAAAACTGATTATCAAAATAAAACAAAACGAAAATAAAAGTGACATAGATAGTTTACTTATAATAATTATATATTTTCTTTTAAAAAATAAAGGGTAAACATCGTGATCACTCAATTATTAGTAAGATTATAAAGAAATTATTGAATTTTAAAAAGTTATAAATGGATTACTTCATCTATAGATCGTAACAAACATGTCACTTTTATCGTGTGTTACTATTGTTAATATTTTAGTCACAATCAAGTTACTTTTATTTATCAATTGTAATCATTAAGTCACTCTATTTATCGATCATACATTTTTATCACTTAATTATGACTAAAAAGTAGTGGTGGATCTAAAAAAAATTTAGGGTGGGCACACATATATTAATAATATAGAATTTTTATATGCAGATGGACACAATAAAATTTTAGAATGGACACAACTAATAAAATGATTAATTAATAGAAATTTTCAAATTTAAAAAAATTCTAAGGGGGACACTTACCCTCTCTAAAGGTCACAAATATCCGACGGTGCTAAAAGGTTGATGCATATATAATTGATATATAAAATGACTTGTTTGTTACTATCCTACCTCCCCCTTACCCCATTACATATGGGAATAGAGTCAGCTAATTTTACTTGTTTGTTACTATCCATAAATAAAGTATCTCATTTATAATGTTTTCAAACTTAATGACCCATTTATAATTTAACAAATAATAGAGTGACTTTGTGGTGTATTTACGCAAAATAAATTATCCTGTTTTTCGACGACGAAGAGAAAACGAAATCGAAAAGCGAAATTCCATCGCAGTTTCCGAATTTTTTCGTAGTAAAGTTTATATTTTTTTAAAAAATAAAAATAAAAACCAAATATTTAAGAAATATAAATAGGAGAAGATCGTTAATCGTTTCAGTGAGAGTTATTTAGTGAGAGAAATAGATTAGATAGAGACAAAGTGATGTCGGGTGGAATAGCTCGTGGTCGACTCGCCGAGGAACGGAAGGCATGGAGGAAGAACCATCCTCATGTTCGTACACTTTTTTTTTTTAGTTTTGAAATTTGAATGTTTCTGATTTGTCTGATTATTTGTGAAAATTAGGGTTTTGTTGCGAGGCCGGAGACGATGCCGGATGGAACGGTGAATTTGATGGTGTGGCATTGCACCATCCCTGGTAAAACAGGGGTAAGTCAATGATTGATATTTTTTCTATTTGTTGATCAGGTTCACTGTATAATTTTTATTGATTTGATATTTTCTAGTTGTTTTCAGTTTTCTTTATTTCGTACATGGATACTGTTATGTTGTCTTGTGATTTTGATTTTTGGTAAATTAGGCAATAATTTGAACTGGAATTAGAGGTGAAGCTGAGATGATGTATTTGAATTGCACCCCAAATGTTATGATTTGAATGGGAAAACAAGGACAGCGAAGATTTCTCAAAATGTTTCAGGAAAAATGGTTTTTTTCCCTCTAAAAGGGGAAAGAAGAAAATATTTAAGCTTTAATGAGAGCATATTTTTGTTATTTAAAATGCATTCGAGCAATCTTTGTTCTGTGAGCTTTACATGGTTTATAGGTAGTGTTGTGAACTAACACAGGTGGACTCTGAGGCTAGACCATACTAATTATCGATATCCATATGATCTCGACTTAGTATTGTTATCTTCATTTCGATGAGCTATGTTAGTTAGTTGGCATATTTTATAGCTTCTAGTTAATAACTTACTTTTTTTTGCATTAAAATTTCAATAATTGCATTCGTTTGTAGTTTTCATACGGCTCTTTCCCCTTGCCGAAAGCAGCTCTGAACTATTCTTACAGTTCTGCTTCCTTTTTTTTTCAGGAGTTCTAATGGTTGGTGAGGCTCTAGCTCACTCTATTTTAAGTGATATCATACAAGCACACACTTTTTTAACACAAAATTCCTCTTATGATAGTACATTTTTTTGGCTGTTCTTTAGCAGCTCACTTTATTGTTTATAAGCTGTCCTCTATTAATTATTCATTAATTAACTTGGGGTGCAGTCATGATTAAACTCAGGTCTCGTGCATCGTTATTATTACACGTTCATGTAGATTTGTTTGCATTATTGATAGGGGAATATTTAGCTCACTTCCAGCTTAAGGCAACAGCAATTTCAAAAAGTAGCATTGTACTTCAGACAGCTGCTTTTGGAAATTTAAGTCTTGAGGTTATCTGGCTATTTATATGTTGCAGATCAAGAACTAACCAGTTTGGGTTGCAAGTGTTAGGTTTTGCTTTGCAGCATTGGTGGTTTGATGTTACTGGGAGAGTGACAACTTTGTGGTATTCATTTTGTTCTTGTAATCATTTTGCGCCTCTGAAATTGTATTGGCTGTTGGTTTCATTATTCACCATAGTTTATCAATCTTCTAGTACGACAGCTTTGATCTTTTTTCTGCAATTCATTTTATTTCTGGGTGTTACTATTTCCAAGCTATGTTTTTTCTTTAAATATATTGAACAATTTTAAAGGTGATATATGGATGCGTTCAATTTTATCTCGAGCATCTTATCAGTAATATCAGAATGCTTCTTCCTTAGAAAAAAAACATAATCTTTTAGAAAGTCGGAACCGTTTCAATATAGAGTGGTGAGCAAGGAACATTGAAAGGGGAATGTTTCGATCAGTGGTTTGTTCTCCTTTTAAAGTTTGGATGGGCTTAATTCTTTGCATTATCTACGTTGCAGACTGATTGGGAAGGTGGTTTCTTCCCACTCACACTCCACTTCACTGAAGACTATCCGAGCAAACCTCCGAAGTGTAAATTTCCACAAGGCTTTTTCCACCCAAATGTTTACCCATCCGGTACTGTTTGCCTTTCAATCCTCAATGAGGATAGTGTAAGTATCTCCTCCTTTTCATTGATTGTTTACATGTTTGGATCGGTGTGATTCCATCTGTCTGGTCCTGACATATCACGCCATTCTTGTGTCGTGCGTAGGGTTGGAGACCAGCCATAACTGTGAAGCAGATCCTTGTCGGAATCCAGGATTTGCTGGATGCACCAAATCCTGCTGATCCTGCTCAAACCGAAGGCTATCACCTGTTCATTCAGGTATGTATCTTAACTTTAGGTTCTCGGAGAATGACTAAATCATTCACACTAATAACTACCGTATTTGATAGAAACCGAGTGGTGGTAATATTGGGTCTAAATGTTTAAGATGGCTGCCAAAGGCAGCAAAGTTTTTTGGAATCACATACGTTTTCTTTCTGCAGGATGCTAACGAGTATAAGAGAAGGGTTCATCTGCAGGCGAAGCAATACCCACCTCTCATCTAGTATCACTAAATACTGGATTTTCCTCAATGTTGCCGGTAAAATGCCTGCTCATTTCATCGTGTATAATGTTAAATTATGCTTTTGCTAGAGAAAAATGCATTGCTTTGTGTCTGCAATTGTGAGTTGGCCTTTCTATATGAACCAGCATTTGTACTTATCAAATTTGAAAAAATTGGGATGCTTATATACTATACTAGTGGACTTTGTAACTTAAAGAAGGTTTAATGTTTTTTGTGTTTGTCTAGATTAGGGTTTGACCTTTCAAAATATCAAGTAAGGGTTTAGTTTCACAAATAAAAATATTATTCATTGAAAATACTTTTGGATATATTATCTCATTTGAGTAGATTTGAAAATGTTAGATCATTCCATGGCTTGAATTCCTACATTGGGCTGAAGATTCCTGTACAGGGCTTATGGGCTTGTCTTGAGCTGGATGTATTGTACTCTTTATTTATATTTTGGTATAATGCAAAAAATTGTCTATCAAAATAATCATTTTAATCCATATTTATTTTTTAGTATTTTGACTCTCAGTGTTTTATTTTAAGGTAAAAAGACCTTTGACGTTTGATTGAATAGTCATTTTGATGCTTATTCTTTTTTTAGAGTATTTTGACTCCTAATGTTTTATTTTAGAGTTAAAGACCGTATCTTGAAGAATTAACCATTTGTTAATTAACAATTTTCAAATACATAAACGTCTTTTTGCTACAAAATGAAACGTTGAGTGTCAAAATGATCCAAAACAAAAATAAAGGTCAAAATAACTATTTTTGTAAATATTAAGGACTAACTTTAACATTATGCCTTATATTTTGGGCCTTGGGAGTCCACTGTGTCTCTTTTCATTCTTAATCGAAATCTATGTTGAACTAAAAAAACATTAACCAAATACCTTTTTATAAAGAATTATAAAAATATGTATAAATTAAGATATATTTATATTTTGCCAGTCAAATATGGCTAAAAAAATTAAAATTCCTATTAGTTACATGAGAGGATAACAATTATACTTTCATACAATTACACTGTGATACCCAAATACATATTTAAATTTAAATTCTATGTTATGTACAAAATATTTTTAACCATCAATTAAATAAAATAGTAAAATTTTATTTTTAACGTACATTTTTAGATGACTTTTTCTTTTACTCATTTTCATAATATATATTTAATTACTTCAATTGTTTTGCAGTCCTAAACCCTAGGTTAAATTTAGCTTTAGGAATTAATGTTAAACTTGAATAATAATTCCGTATTAACATCAATTAGGCACAAATTCAAACAGGGGGTTGCCCTCTCTAATTGAATAGCTGAAATTGTGATATTCTAAAGGACATGGTGGCCCTCAAAATTTATGCCCACTTAAATTTCTTAACAATCTTAAAAGGCACATTAATAAATTTTATGCTATAAATCAAGGGAGGATAGGGCCAGTGCTGTATATAGACTTTTCATCACTCTTGTATGGATTCCATAAACATTCACTTGTGGCTTATATTTAATAATTAGTCCATATTATACTTAATCCAAACCCAATTTTTACTAATTATTTTTATTTTGATATTATAGATAGACATGTAAAATACTTTTAGAAATAAAATAATAATGATGAAAATTAAAAAATGATTTATTAAAACTAGAGATGACAACAGAGAAGGTGATATGAGAAGAAGGCAGAAGTATAATTCAATCATAAGTTAAACATAATTTAATCAAATTTAAACTCGACCTCATAAATAAATATTGTATTTGGTCTCAAAAAATTTACCTTGTCTCGTCTCAACTTTTTAAAAATGTGTTCCTATTAGATCAGATCAAATATGAACTTATTGATTTCATATTTTTTTATCCCTAATTAGAACAATCTTGATTCAATCCTCATATATATACTTTTTATTTTCTTTTAGAAAAGTGAATCACTTGAAATGAATCTATATGAAATTTATTTTATTTTTAATTTTTTTAATAGTCTGAGATGATTATAATTTACAAGGTAGTATATAATAAAAATTTTCTTAATCAATTGACAATATGCACACCCTGCAGACGCAACTGCACGAATTGAGAACCGCTAGGAAGAATAACATTTCCTCTATCACCGAAACTATTCGATGAGTTCATATATATGAAATTTATAGGATGGAGTAGGTTTTGGCATCCATATTTTGCTTAAATTAGAAGTGAACCTAATTTGTGCCAAGTTGGTTACTAAAGTTGATTCCCAAATTCGAAGCCAATCCTTATGGAATTCTTTGTTAGCGTCACTTGAACTTGTGTAGAGAATTGGTAGTGTTTAGGTACGGGCCAAGGCGCCTGCTGTGAACCAAACATCTTTAACCAGCTTCCACCAATTTGCTTTTGTTTACAGCATTCTGCCTTACTTTGATTTTATTTATTTATTTTCTTAGTTTTAAAGGTAGGATAAGTTGGATTGGGTTTTTTAAATTTACTTTATAAATATTAATATAAACGAATCATTTTTTGTAATTATAAATTTTGTAGCCTAAATAAGGAAAATAAACAACTCAACTTATGATCTATTCAATCTAAGCTATGAATAAACTTACTAGCAACCAAATATGATTTGTCACTAAGTTATTAACTCAACCAATTGGCATCCAATTGATCGACATAAACGTACGGATTCACTTTATAACCTTATACGTAAAAAGGGTAATGGCCCCCAAACTTCGACGATCTATTTATCTTTTAAATAATTGTAATTAAGTCATTGCCTCTCCTGAAATTGTTAGTAAAATTATTTTTAGTACACTGACAGTTTTAAAATTGATGGAATTAAACCTTGATCCCAAATTTATCTGGTTTAATTATTTTTTAAGACTTTTGAATTTTAAATTAAGTGAAATTAAACTCTCAATATCTTAATTTTTATGATTTAATTAATTTTAAAGACCCTATTTGTTTTAATTAAAGTTAACCAACTTACCCGTCATAATTCTATTTCCACCATGTATGTATCATATGTGAGTTCTACCTATATTTAATTTAAATATCGTTATATATAGATATCTTCGAGTTATTTCAATTTAGATTGTATTGTTTTTGAACAATTCTTACCTAGGTAAAGGGAATTTTGCTCCTAACCCACAACCTAGGAGAGAGGGACAATATCAACTGATAACTTTTAACCACATGCTTTAGAGATGGTTGATAATTTAGATTGTATTAGATTAATGATTTCTAATGGTTAATTTTTGTGTGTAGTGGTTTGAATGTAAAAACTTGGTAATGAACAATTTCGTATACTTACCACCCTTTGAAAAGAAATCATGGTATTAAAAAAAACCTAGCATACGTAGGACGTTATTAGTATGATCTAATTCATGGTTTTATTTATAGTGACTTTATCAAAGGATTGTTAATCAATAGCCCTAATTATTCAGCTGTAGCTTTCGTTAATGTTGACTTTACCACGGAATTAATGAGTGACGAATTCTATATGTATACGCAAGTGTTAAATGAATTATAAGGTCCAATTATGCTGATTAATTGAAAGGCGTCGAGTTGTGATGCAGTGCCTTAGATATCAGTAATACTTCAGTCCTAGTCTTCTTTAGTGGAAAGCAGACAAGGCAAGGTCATCAATGGTGGCGACGTTGTTCTTTCATGAAACTATCTCAATCACCGCCATTTGCCTTTTTCTTGGAATGTTTCTAAAACAAGCACCAACGACGCAAACAGATTTCTAGCGACAATTTTTTATCTGTCACTATTTAGAGGTGTGTGTCTTATGAATGTTGTCCCTAAAAAAATCATGGAATTTTTATAGTAATTGCTTTTATGCAAATGATCCCCGACTATAAGATATTATTTTATTGAGTCTCCGTATTATTATAAGTTACAAAATGATCCTCTAACTATATGTCATTGTTTTGTTGATTTCCTAGGCTATTAAAAGTTACAAAATAATCACTTGACTATTCATATGTTTCAAACTCAACCTTTTTCGTTAAAAAGTTGACGGTCGTCTGAGTTGGACATTAACCTACTGACTAAGATGTGATAAAATTCTATTTTAATGATGTCTACTGACATTGTCGTTATTTTCAAGAAATGACTCGACAACATAATATTCCAAGCACTGACTTAATGACATAATATAAACCAAGAGTCAATCCAAGAACTACAACTCAAACGATTCTGAGATCAGGTTTTATCATATCTCAGTGAATAGGTTAACGTCCAACTCACACGACCGCTAATTCTTTAACGAAAAGGGACAAGTTTGGAACATATGAATATTCGAAGTGACCATTTTTGTAACTTTTAATAGTTGGAGGGTTTAAAAATGAACACCCTATAGGCGGAGGATAATTTTGTAACTTTTAATAGTCAGATGAATCAATATAACAATACCCTATTATTGGGGGACCATTTTTGTACTTTACCTTTTTTTAATGTAATATTGCTTTGTTTAAGTCATGTGATAAGCAGTGTTTTGAAAACCGGACCGACCGGTTCAACCAGTTCAACCGAGAACCGTTGCCTGGTCCGGTTCATTCTATCCCGGTTGAACCGGTTCTAGTGAACCGCAAGGAACTGTTCGAACCGGATTTGAACCGCTCGAACCGGATCGGACCGTGAATCAGTTCAACCTAATTTTTTTTGATTTTTTATTAAATGTTTTTGGTATTTTTATTTAATTTTATAAATAATTATGACGTCGTCCGATTCCTACGACCGGTCCGGTTCTGAAAACCATGGTGATAAGTAAATGTAAAATGAAAATGGGCATGGTTTTCTGCCATAAGAGGGACGGTTAGGTATTTGAAAGGTGACGAAATAATCAAATTAATAATTATAATGGGCATATGCATCACCTATATACATATATGAAAGGAATACACTTACACTACAATTATCTTCATATTTCATATTTTGTTATGGAAAAATTGTGTGTATATATTTTTTCTTTATTAGTGTTGGAGTCAATATCTAATGGGTCCAACTATTGATATAGACAATGTGACTATAGTCTTTTAAGATTAATTTTTAATATTTTTTTCTTAATTTAATGTGTTATTTTTTACATGATTACACTATATATGATGAGATTTTCTAAAAATATACATAATGAGAATAATTAAAGAATTCTTAAAATTTTGGATGCTAGAAAACTTGATGCAACCAAAATTTCAAATATATAATTTGGAGACTATTATGGTATAAAATTTTGATCTTTTTAATGAATATCTTAAAAAAAATCACCCTTTG